AGCGCCGAGCCCGTGGCTGCACGCGGCTCCGGGAGGCTGCAGGGGTGCTCCCTGTCCCCGTGTCCGGGGTGACTCTGCCCAAACTTCCCCTGCTCTCCCAGCTGCAGACAAGTCAGGCTGTTTCTAGAAGTACCTAGAAAGAACTAACCTGAAACCAGAGGAGGTACGGTATCATCCAACAGCTGCAAGTTAGGGAAGAACTGGGTGCCTGGCGGTGCCCTATCCGTAGGGAGCAGCGCGTCAGTGTGTGTCTAGCTTTGGCCAGGCTACCTTCACCTTGGACAGAGGGAGAAGATCAGGTCTGGTCCCCACCATAAGACAAACAGATTAGCAACTGCATCTGAAAAACAGTCTTTGACATAAGTATCCCTGGAAGAGAAAGCCTCCTTACATTTCAGACACCGCATGTCAGCCTGCTGCAAATCAGATGAGCAAGGAGAATGTCTAACAGGACACCCCTCCGTACAGAGTGCCACTTCCTTCGAAAATACTGATGGCGGTTTGAAGGGCATTTCACAAAACCTAGCGATCACCTAGAAAAGCTGTATGTATGCGTGCACACGTGTACGCAAGCCTAATACAAGAAAGAAATGCTAATCTTTCCAACAAATCAAGAAACGGTTCTACAAGCCAAATCTATTTTAGTAAATACGGTGAGTGTGCAGGGCAAGGGTGGTAAGGCACAGCCTGTGCCCACACTGCTGCCTCATCCAGCCAGAAATATGGCTTCACCAATATTCCCCCTTTCCTTTTGGGAATGCTCCCTGGTCCCTGCCGTTCTCAGAATCATGCCCAAGTCCTGCGTGGAAAGGGTTAGTTACCACAAGCCAATCCTATGCCTACACACAAACAGGGAAGGGGCCATACAAAGAGTGAAGTCATTCAGCCACAGCCCAAGTACATACACTGGCCATAGTTAGACTACAGACACAGATACCCTGTCTTAGCTCTGGGGTACTGGGCTGGGGAAAGTACCTGTTAGCATAACTTAGCGTTGTTACTACGCAGGAGCTCAAATCCTGATATGGGTTTCAATATAGGATCTTCTGGTATCAAGTAATCTCAGTATCCTTTCTTCCCTCTGCACAGCGTCACATCATTTGGAAGAAAAAAATGTTCTAGGCGGATATTTTCTTCCAAATGAAGTAGATCTTCATGAGGTAATTGTATTGCCAAAAGCAGAATGGGAAAGGATTCAGGACAATCTTGGCAGCACAACTAGAGAAGCAGCACGCATCCTTGCTGAGAAGAAAGAACGGGAAGAAATGCACTTACGCTCCAAAGCAGCTGTAAAAGACTGGCCCAATACCATTATGGCAAGTACAAGATACATTTGTAAACAAAGGGATTCATTTTCATATATGCAAAACCACTCATAGTAACATTTCTAGCTGTACTCCCTTTGTTTACCATTTGCTTTTAAATATGTATTTTAACTAAACTCCATTTAAATACATTTAACATCTAACATCAACATTTAATTTTTGTAATTAAAGCTAAAATGCAAAATTAAAAAAAAACCAAACATTGAGTACATCACCTTCCGAATGGTTTATATGTTTTTAGTCCACATGCTTTAAATGTGATTTCTAATTTTATCTGCACTGTAGGGCCTGGCACAACGGAAACTTAAAGCCAAACAATTACGTGAAGAAAGGGAAGAGGAAGAAAGAAAGTTACTTGATTTGGAAGAAGAACAGTTCCAAGCAGCAAAACGGAAGGAGGCTATTGATCATGCAAAAACCTACCTATACTATCAGAATGAAAGAGTGAAAGGGTTGCATGTTTGTTGACACCTTATCATTTTTAAATTCAAATTGTACTGAATTTCTTTAAGCACTTCTGAACATGCAAATGACTTGAAATGTTCTCTTGCAGAGTGCTCTTCTACTTGCTGAGGTCCTAAAAGAAAGAGATGCTCAAGTTGAATTAAAAAAGTTAAAGTCAGGTGTTAACAAAAAGAAGGATGAAGAACAGGAACATGAATGTCAAGAAGCTATTCTCAGAGAGCAAGAAAAGGCACATCAGCGTTATATGAATCAACAGGCACTACGCAGAGATCAGCTGGAACAGTAAGTAAGAATTAATCAAAAATAACCCTACTTCATTATTTACTTAAACTCTCCTCTCACAAATACATTCTGTAAGGTTTTTACAGAAACTTACTAATCATTTGATTCACAAATGCGACACTTTAAAAGAAAAATCCAGAGTGCCACAAAAGACCTTGCACAGAAGGGAAAAGCTGTGATATGCAGTGTCTTTTAGTTGCCAACAGTCTGCATGTAAAATCGGTGCTGGTAGGGATCAATAGGTTTTAGTCAAATTGCTATTCAAAAGTTGTTACTGAAAGTGTAACTTTGGTCCCAGAAAAGGAAAAGGTTAAACCAGATTTTCCATTTGCCTATAACTAGATTTCAGAGAATGCATCACTGCCACCTCCATTCTTTCTCTCAGCTCTTACAGAAACCTTACGGAGGGGTCCCCAGTGGTATTTATAGGACTGGCCCTCGTGGTCTGATAGAAGGAATCAAATTCCCTGAGGCAGAGGAAGGGTTCAAAGTCTGGTCTTACATATTCCAGGTCCAACACATAAATCCTTGCAGAACTTGGTACAGAACACTACCAGTTTAAGCTGTTGCCTGCATGCCCAGGAGAAGCATAGATATGGTGGGACTTGCTGGGGAAATCTTGTGGAGTGGGAATGCTGCAATGATAGGCCAGAACGTTATGAATGCAGTGGTACTAATGGGTCATCCAGACAAAACTTTTTACCACCAGACTGCAATCTGTGAGCATACCATAGCTCATTTCTGGTCAGAGGATTGAGGGCTACCATTAGAAACAATGATGCTATTTTTCACCTCTGATATTCTACCCATCTTCAATTCAAAGTATCCTTCAGTGCAAGGTACCGATGGTTATGCAGAATCTGTATCTGTTCATTACTTCATGCCATCCCTAGCCCATTTATTCAACTCCTTTTCCTGATTCAGAATAAAGGAGCACAAGCATCAGGCAGATCTGGCCAAGCTAGAAAACAAAAGAGAGGGAGAACAAATACAGAGATTGAACCAGTTATACCAACTGGAAATTCAGAGAAGAATGGAAAAGGAACAGGAGGAAAAAGTTGAACGCCAGAGGCTGTATCACGTAAGTAACAGGAAAGCAGAGAGTTCATAATGCTTGTTTCACCTTGGCTGCCTGGAGTGACACAACAGCATTCATATATCTAAATGGGCCTACTGGCAGCAGGAAGTTTGCTGACAGCTTCAGTAGCACTGGATCATATGCCTACCCTGCCAGTTGCAGGCCATGTCCTTCCTCTGTGCTTTTGAGAAAGGCCTCTTGGACGCAGGTCCCTTCTCTTGTCTGAAGGGACATTGGCACCTGATGCTTTGGCTAGTCTGTGATTAAAAAGTCTGCTGTAGACATCAAGGAATATTCTCTTTCACTTGAGAACTGGAATTAAGTTCCACGTACCTGCTGGTTTAAGCCCATTTTTCTTTGTTAGGAAGAGGGAATAGCTTGAGTCTGAACATGACAATATCTTTTTAATTTGTCTTTCCCTTTATGATTGGAGACGTTTAGAAATTTCATCAAGATGTGCTGCTTTCTCTCTTCACCTTTAAAGGCATCTTTGCTAAACATAAACTAGAAATGCCTCAGAACAGTTCTGGCTAGCACACACAAGACAGTTGGTTTTTTTACATAAAATTATAGAAAACTCTTCAGCTATGATTTGGATTAAGGTCTCAGACTGGGATAGTTTTGGATGAGGTGGGCCAGGAGCAGCACGGTCTGTGTATGTGTTGGTGGGGGCTGTACTGTCCCATTCCTCTCAACGTCCCCCTCTGCCACATGTGTGAATGGGAGCAAGACATAATGCTCACTGCATTGCATAGCAATTTGTTTGTGTAATGGGCTGGAGAAGCAGCTGTTCGATGCTCAATTCCCCTTCTCCTTCCTCATATCGACTATGTCCTCCTCATCCGTGTTTGAACAGGGAGAAAGCAGTAAGTGAAAGTACTGAGAGTCCCCTTCTTTTCTCTCTTTGAAAGAAACACAAAGAGAGAGTATAGGGAGTGATTCCTTTAAGTTGCTACCCCAGGCCCAGGTTTTCTAAACTTCATTGATTATACCAGGACCATTTTGCCCATGCAGGAGCATGTAACTGACCAGAAAACCATCAAAGCAGTAGAGGAACAAAAACAAAGGGAGGAAGATGAGCGGATTAAGGCTCATTTTAAAGCAAAGGAAACTATTGCCAAGCTGATAAAAGAGAAAGAAGCTGAAATGCGTAGGTAGGTACAAAGCTAAAACTGTAAATAAACTAAAAATTATACCGTAGTCGTATTCAAATCTTTCAGACTGATGACTTAGCACAAACCACAGTTATTCTAAAAATTAAATTCTACTGATAGGTGGAGTAGGGAATTCAGGAGAAAAGGAAATTCTTTCACAGGTTCCTTAGTAATAGGTGGGTGTGGCAGCGATCTCTCTGCCCTTCAAAGTACAAAGACTTACAGAAGTGCAAAGCTCTACACCAGTGTGTTGGGAACAGTGATTTTCCATATGGCCTGCCCAAGCCTCCACCTCCTCAACAATTAAAGACAATTAAAATCCTTGATGAAAGTATTTTTGGGCATAAGCTATATTTGCCTGAGTCAGATCAAGAAAAATAATTTGACTTCTTATCTAGGCACCTATATTAATTAATTACATTGGGTTATTGTTACAGGAAGATGGTTTACCAATTTAACAGTGAGGGTATAGCATGAAGATACCATTGAGCCAATGTAAGAGCTCCCTTCTCTTCCTACGTCTGGCCAACACTCCCAACATTTCTCTCCTGATGCCAAGATGCTAGGCAGACTCCTCCCCGAGTGATCCAGCTCATTATTGCAACAGAAGACTAGTGTTACAAGAATACAGGGAACATTTAGTTGCTAAATCAGATAATTTAAACAAAATAAAACAGGAGGAACACAAAGAGATCGAGGAGTTGGGTGGGTGGGCCGGCCTGTGTGGGAAGAGGAGAGAGGACTAGAAGCAGGATTGCCGAGTTTGGTAGCAGTAATGCTTCAGGTAGAGCCAGCTGTGTACTCTGGTATGTTATGGTAGCTCATGTTCTTCTGCAGACTGACACAGGAACATCAGGACAAAATCGTTAGCCAATTAGCTGTACAAATGAATGAGGCATTGAAGAGGGAAGATGATCGTCTTGCTAGAGACATTGCAAAAAAAGAAGCTGAACAAGAAAAAAAATGCAAAGAGAAAGAAGCAAAAGAAAAGGCAGCCATTGAATCTATTGCTGAACATAGAGCCGTTGTGGTAAGAAACCTAGCCTGTTCTTATTCCTGCTGACCCCTGGCTTTGGACACGGCCCAGCCACAATGACCGTGCTTGTCAGAGTGCTGATACAGGGCTGCTTCTGCTGAAAGATATGGCTTCCAGCTTAGGAGCCTGGCTCCTTGGTTAACTGTTTTTGTGTATTTTGTAAAATACAGATAAAGATGAAAGTGGAAAAGGAGAGAGAGGAAAAAGCAGAGGGTAAAAGAGAACGTCATGCGTTAATGGAAAAGAACCGCATCTCCCTGGAAATGGAAAAAGCCAAGAAACAAAGCCAACGTGACGCAAACATGGAAGTACAGAAAATTCAGATCCAGCAAATGGTAAATAGAAGAGCTGTACCCTGTCAGCCTCTTCAGAAACAAGCATGCATCTAAACCAACAGCACTAGCTCCTGCCTGAGAGGAAGAGAGAGAGAGAGGAAGCTTGCTGTGTTTTGTTCGGGGGGTTTTGTTTGTTGTTTTTATTAAATCATGTGTGCTCCGCATATGCTGGTGTTGGGGACCAGCCTCCTCTCAGAGCAGCGGTGCAAGTCAAGGCTGGTTTGCAATGACAAATCCCATCCTGTCCTGTGCCATTATGTACTACTGCTGCCCTCTTGTATCTTCTGGGCAGGTCACCAAAGAGCAGCAGCTGATGCTGATGTGCACTCAGCTATTTAATGTATCCTTTTTGTGGGGGGTACGGCAGGGGAGAGATGATATTTGCCAAGTATGGACTAACATCACCGCAGATCTCCTGTAAGCTTTTACCCTCTCTGAGTTTTAAGGGATAGTTATGTTGTGAAAGAAATACTAAGCTTTGTTATTCCCTTTTCTTCATCAGGCTGAAAAGGAGGCAAAAAAACAGCAGGAAAAGCAAGCAGATTTGGACTACAATGCTCAGATGGAGGCTATTGAACTTTGTAAGGAGCGTGAATTTCAGAGCTATGCAAAGCAAGTTATTGAATCAGAGTCCAAGACTACACATCATCTTTATCCTCTTCTCAAAGCATCCAAAGATGTAAGAGGACTTGGACACAGGCTGTTTTCCAGAGGAAGAGAAGGAATAAATACTAGTTTTCAAGCACAGGATGGTGCTGGGACCCAGTTACCTTGTTGTAGCTGTACTACTGCTCAAGAAGTTAAAAACATGAAATAATATTGAGACTATCCAGCAAGGAAAAGCAGAAGTAGTTTTCACATGGTCAAAAAAATATCTTTTTGAACCTTATGGGCAGAGTTAAACTGTAAATTATCTACATCGAATATATGCTGTGAATCTGAAAGTCCATTTGAAAAAAAAAAATTGGCAGAGAACTGGTTATATTCTCCAAAATCCCCAGCTTGTATTTCATGGAAGTTAGTTTATTAAACTTGAGACAGAAATGTATGATATGTAATTGACCATCAATGTAACCCATTCCAGCCAAAAGCTCACTATTACTGTTATATTTTATTATTCATTATTCTAAAAATTCACTGTCCCAGGGTTTTCAGCCTAGGATATGAATTCCTAGTGCAAAAGGTCACATTTTTCGCTAGCCCATTTCCAGTTAAGTATTCCCCATAATAGAAAAAAACAAAACAACTTTACAGAATCTACAGGGGAAGAAAAAACAACCTAATACATGCGAAAGTTAGAATAGTTACGGTACTGAAGTTTTTACAGCATTTTGCAACTACCTCTGTAATACAAATGTCACGCTATAAATTAGTTATAATATATGAAAACACGAATGTGATTTGATCACAGCCCTTAAAAGGTTACTTAGGAGGCAAATAGGTCCCAACATAGCTGTAAATAGCTACTACAAAAAGAGCGTGGCAACAAGAACAACATAGTTGGACTGTTCTTTCAAAAGACTAACAATGATTCAATCTGCGGTAAATAGATCTGGATCTAAAATTGTTTCTCGGATTCCACAGCTGACGTACTCCCCAACACCAAAGTCACACACACATCGCGCTCCTTACGCTTAGTTTCTTTGCTGAAATTTTACCATCGCGTTCCTGCCTTGGACAGAGGCAGGGTTTCCTGTAACGACTTCCTCCACAAGCATCCTGGGGCCTGCACAGGGTATCCCCCTATTCTGGGGTCCACTGAAAACAAAGTCCAAGAAACCTGAAGCTTTGCTTTGTTGCACACAACCTTCTGTTCCAGCCCCCCAGCTACCAGTTGGCCAAACTAGAAAATGACGCAAGTTAAAGAAAAAAAAAAATTAGGGGAGTTTTATTCAAAGGGTGCTTGACAATATTTTAGTTTGGAAAATGGGTCTTTTGTGTGCCTTCAAGTGTCTAAGCCTGGCTTCTGATAGCAACAGGCTTTGAAGAAAGCACAGGACTTTGAGCAAGACGGGAGGGCCCCGAGGGCAAGGTCCCTCCTGCAAGCAGGGGGCCAAGCAGAGCTGGTTTTACCTCCCCTACAGTGTAAAACAGCTGGATGTAAGATGGATGTACTCCTTCAGGAGTGCAGCAGTCACCTCCTCGAGGGGTCTCTTCCCGGCAGGGCAAGGGAGGAACTTTTGGAAGAAGGAGGAGGAGGAGGACCGACCTCCTGCCTCATCCAGCTCCCAGGGCCGCCAAGGGCCTTCCTCCGGGAAAAGAGCGCCCAGGGCCCAGCTTTTAAGGCCAGGTGACGGCTGAAGGCGGGTTTCTAACACCCCCAGCCGCAGGCCGGCCGAGCGGGATGAAGGCGACGCGGCAGCCCAGAGAGCCAGGCCGAACCGAGCCGCCTCACCGCCGGCCGCGCGGAGCAGAGGCGAACGGGCGGGGAGAAAAGCCGCCGAGGTCGGCGCAGAACGACCAGGAAGGCAGAGGGGGCGTCACAGCCTCTTACCGGTGCAGGCTCGCTACAGGGAAGCGGGTGTTTCGCGGAGCGGCCGCGGAGGAGGGCGGCTCCCCGCACACGGGGCTTCCGCGGT